TAGAAGGGTCTAGGCCCGAAACATCAGCTTTCCTGCTCCTCTGATGCTGCTTGGCCTGCTGTGTTCATCTAGCTCTACACCTTGTTATCTCAGATTCTCCAGCATCTGCAGTTCCTACTATCTCGGCAGCAGAGTGGGGCTCCTTAACCGGAGCTCGTCCGCTCCAACCACTTTCCTTCTTTCTTTTTTCGTCTGTCTTGTTTTTGTTTTCTTTCTATACCCTTACTTATCTCTTGTCCTGAGCTCGGATGGTAGCAGCAGCAGCGAGAGCCCAGCACGGACCTCGAGTGGGCCCAGCGCGAACGTCAAGTGAGCCCTTTTCCAGGTTGAGCACAGGAGCTGGCATTTCAATCGGCGGCTGCTGCATCAGTGGAGGAAACGTTGGTGATGTAGGCCCCTGGGCAAAAGATTGCACCTGAGGATAAGCAACTTAATCATTGGTTGGGTCCGGTGCTGGCAGCGGCAAAGTGGTGGCGGAAGGGCATCACAGCAACACCAGCAAGATGGGCCCAGTGGCGAACGATGTGACTCGGACATTGTTTGGTCTGGAGCAGGCTGCAGCGAGGTGCGGTGGAGAATTGCCCCGGCAGCAAAAACTATCTCCTGAGGCTCGGCGACTAGGATGTCGGTTGGGTCCGGAACAGATGGCGGCAAAAGCAGTTGGGGGGGATGGCAGCACAGGTGTCGATGATGGTCATAAACTGGCTCAGGGCTGATGGACATAACACAGTGTGAAGCTGGAGGAACACAGCAGGCCAGGCAGCATCAGAGGAGCAGGAAAGTTGACGTTTTGGGTCGGGACCCCTCTTCAGAAATCTGAATTTCAGACCTTGATGCCATGTCTGACTCCAGCATCGGCAGTTCTTACTATCTCTCAGGACTGAGGGACTCCCTTTAATCTATATAAAAAACCGAAAGAACTGCAGATGCTGTAAATCAGGAACAAAAACAGAAGTTACTGGAAATAATCAGCAGGTCTGGCAGCATCTATGAAGAAAAAAAGTCAGAACTGAGAAGGGCCACCAGACCCTAAATGTTAACTCTGATTTGTTTTTTCTGCACAGATGCTGCCAGATCTGCTGAGCTTTTCCAGCAACTTGTGTTTTTGTTCTGTTTCAGCTATATCTTTCTTTCCTTATTCTTAAATTATTCAAAATGGCGCCGAATCGTGGCGAAAAGTGAAACCTTTTCACTGTGTATTTTACTGTATTCTTACTGTAAAATACACATGACAATTAAATCATTCATGCAATGTTGGTGGGAGTGGGAGGGAGGGAGAACGATTTGCACAGCCAGTATTGGAGCAGTAAGGCGAGCAGGGGGCGGGATTACCTGTGAACTCTGTCATTGGATTGGCGGAGATAGCTGTCAATCATACTGAGTGACGGCGGAGGCCATCTTGCGGGCGGGCCGTTGGCGTGAGTTGGGGAATAAAATGGCGGCAGGCGGACAGCAAGCCCGGTAATGGGGAGAAGGAGCAGTCTTTTAGCCAAAAAAAAAGTCGTCGGTGGTGGGTCGTCACCGCGGTTTAATTCAGTTTGACTTAGTTTTGTTTCCGTTTTCGCTCGTCGGCGCCGCTTTGTGAAGCATGGATCGGCTGGCGCCTTTCGGCAGTGAGTAGCCCCCCCGCCCTGTGTCTCACCCTCGGGGGATGGAGGGGGTGTGGATGGCTGATAACCGGAGGATCGGGGCTCTCCTCGGGCCTGTAGCTGCAGCGTTTACCATGAGCCGGCAATTGAATCGGACTCACGTTTGGGCGAGAAATTTGCTTCTCAATAAAAGCTCCTCTTCCAATCTCTTCTTCCCCCACCCCCACCAAACATCTAATGCTAGAAGAAAATCCAGAAGTCTTTGCCTAAAATAAATCTGTAGCCACAGTGATGTGCCGTGCTTTTTAATGTATGGATCACTGTTTCGCAGGCGACTCCCCCCGCCCCAGGTCACCTTTCTTTTCTAAAACAAAACACTGCGTCCTAAGAGCTCAGACTCGCAGATTAACCGTGCCAACCCAACCTTTTTCAGACTGAATTTAATCTGTCTAGCTCCTCGCTCCAACTCACTTGTCTGTGTGTGTCTCAAACTGGGGTGTCAGTGCAGCATTTGTGTTTAGTCAGGAGAATATGCCACGTGTGTTGTGTATTAGCTCTCCCTCGCTT